CTTTGTAGCAGTTAGAAGTTCTCTGTCGCGCGCCAAAAATCGCTGGGGGACTAGAACTAGTCGACCCATAGTGGATATGTCGTGTATGGGAGACGAAACGTATTCTAAAGTCGTGTGGACCGTGGAAAAGCCAAGCAATAATATGGACAAAATAACGCAGGAGAAATACAACAAAAGCCGTGAAAGAAGTGACAGGATCAGTGCATTAATGGGTCAGTACATGTTGAAGGGTTACCGAATGTTAGGCTCAACATGTGAAGTCTGTGGGGTAAGCATCATTGTCAAAATAGCATACTGAACTTTTTTGGCTTTGTCTGAGAACTCTTTACAATTTATTTATTCTTATTTATGATGTTCTTAGCTGGTAAGCAAGATCAAGAAACCTTGCTTTATGAGTTTTTTGATTGCTCAGTCAAGTGCATCACAGTCACATTTTTCCGTTCTTGTTTTTTTTGTTGTTGTTGTTGTTTTTATATTAAACAGGTAGGCCCTAATATCCTTCTAGTACTATGGCCTTTTTATTGAAAATGTATGTTCCGAGCAGGGAACCTCTTGCCTCTTGTGGAACTAGCCACTTGTTAATTGGCTCAATCAACTATAGTGGACTACTTTGTAATCTGATTTGTTGCACTCGGATCACCTTATTCTAGAAGTATGGTTGCTCATTAAATGCTTTCAGGTTAAATTATTTCTTGGTGCTACAAAATTATACTTTATTCTGGCAAAGTGTTTTCTCACTAACAGACTGTACCTGGCATGATGTTGCTTTAAACATAACTTTCACTTGATTTTCTGCATCTTGGAAGTCTGATTTCCTTTGCAACATTTTGCTCTGACCCCTCACTTTTTTGATTAGCAATCAACTCATTGTACTGTTCACTCACTTGGAAGCATGGTCCTTGTTCCTTTGCTCATCAGTCTCTGTTGGCCGGGCACCTGGTATCCAGGCCTTGGTTTGCTCGGGACAACCCTACCTCGGGATCAGAACTGAGGCTTCAGTTACCTGCTGCGACTTCCTCGTCGCGCGTTTGTGTTCGGTCAGTCGTGTGCTTAGGTTTCTGTCAGTTTCACCAATATAAAAAGCCTGGCAGTCGCAGCATTTGATCTTGTATACTGCTCCCTGTCTGTCCTCCGGTTTGTCTTTGTCCTTGACATTAGTAAGCAGTCGCCGTAAAGTGGTTATCGGTTTGTGTGCAACACGTATATTGTAAGGTTGTAATATATGTGCAATAGTTTCAGAGGTGCCAGATATACGGTATAGTCGCTGTCGCAACAGGGCCAGAGTTGGTCTGAGAGTTGGAATCAGTGTTACTGTGAGTGTTCCGCCTAACAAAGTCCGTGTTGTTGTTGTCCGTATTGTTCTTACTAAAAACGTTGTTAACATAATCAGTCTCGTCTTGTAGGCTGTCAGGTGAGTCGCAAACTAGTTGTGCTCGTCTCGTCAGAGTCCGGATACTAGTAGCCTTGTGAGAGGTCGGGTTGTACGAAGACTGCTCTAGTAATCGGTCGGTATGTGTTGGTTTTCTGTAAATAGTCGTTTTTAGTAGTTTGTTGTTGTCGCGAGTGACCAAGCAGTCTAGAAAAGGTATCTTACCATTTTCTTCGATCTCCTTGGTGAACTGTATGTCCGCGTTCTGTCTGTTAAGGTGTTCGTGAAAATCGTCGATTCTGTCTCTGTGTACGGCGGTGAATGTGTCGTCAACATAACGTAACCAAAGAGGTACAGTTCGCGTGTAAGTAGTTAGGGCTTGTTCCTCGATGTTTTGCGTGACAATTTCTGCTACAACAACAGAAACTGGAGAGCCCATAGCTGTACCGTGTAACTGTTTGTAGTGTTTGCCGTTGTACTGAAAGTACGTCGAAGTCAAACAGAGGTTGAGTAGGTCCATAATGTCGTCTGTAGGTAGTGGTAGTTCAACAGTAGAGTTCTTAATAGCATTCTCAGTACAGTCTAGAGCCAGTTGAAGTGGAATACTGGTGAACAGCGATTTCACGTCAAAAGACACTAGTTTGTGGTCGAACATAATATTATTCCAGTTGTACATAAGCTTTTGGAAGCTGAAGACAGTACAGCAGTGAATATAGATGTGTATGACCAAGCAGAAAAGGAGGAATACATATGCCTTATAAAAACAATTGTGACAGAATCTTCAGCTCAACCCCAAGAGGTTTTTGCATTTTTTCAAATACATTAATTTTTTATTACTGTATGGTATGCAGCTACTATTAATAAATATGTTGCAGGTAATTGTTTATTTCAGTTAGTTTTTGTTTTTCCTTTTTTTTAAGTTCATTTATTTAGCATATATTATCATATACAAAAACAATGAAAAAATTAACTGAAATAAAAAATTAACTACAACATATACATAAATGTTTGGGTTGTAATTTTAAAGCAGTAAGTATCTCAAAACCTTAAGTCCAAAAAGTGTCTAACAGTGTCAAAAAGTGTCTTACAGCCATTATGTGAAAAAGGTATGAATAAAAACACTTTTTTTATACCTGCAAACTTTTATTAAATCAGACATAATAGGCTTGAGATTTTTAATCTTACAGTGCCAGTAGTTTTTGTGGGGAATGGAAGATGACCAATGGCAGTCTCAAGAGTCCCATCTATTCTGGGTTCACTTAATTAATACGCCAATACATCGATGCTTTGAGTGTTTTCCTAAACTCGTCTGTTAAGGGCTTTTTCACTAAAATCAAAGATTTCAGCAAAAGTACAATCATTGACATTAACTTAATTTTCTTTCTTGCATGGTCCCTCAGTGTGTCTGTTGAATGGTTTTTATCAGCTAAAATGTAATTTTGATGTACAAGGTACACAGTCTGTACTTGTATTTATGGCTGTGCAAGTTGCTGTGTGTTTCTTATTCAACAGTACGTTACCTTTTTTGCTTGATTGTATAACAATTGATTCTGTGATTATAATAAATATTTCAACTGTTTTGAATTTAAGGCAAGAAAATTTTTCGATGAAGTCTAAATGCAAGTGTGGGGATGTATTTGGCTTTAAGATAATTGAAGCGCTCAGGCTGATTGGTGAACCAGAAAGGGAGCAAGCTCTCAGACGTTTTGTAACCAGTACCAAACGTGGATGTGCAGGCAGACTAACCTTTCCTGGCAATGGGCAGGTTTCTGGCTGCATTCATATTCAAAGAAGGCAGCTGCCAGAATCCATACTCAAGAGCATGGACAAAGGTACAATAATTGACTTGTATACTTACAATGCACAGTCAATCACTAGTAAGAAGATGCAATATTAATTTTTTAAAATATAATTTTCATATCAAACTGAGAATTAATTCTGTTCAAAACAATGAGGATTGAACTTTTAATATCTGAACACTTTTAAGCAAAGAATAGTACTTTTAGTTTAAAGAAGCAATACCATTTCATTCTATTTTTCTCATTTGGGTTGAACTGTGTAATATCAGTATTGGTCATCTTGGCAATATTTGCAGATTGTGGAAGCTGTAATCTTATTTCCAAAACACCTCATTGTACTCATTTCATTTCCTGTATGTACTTAAATGTGTATATTAAGGGAAAACTGCTCTAAAAATCATTACTTATAGCTTTCTAAATAATCATCTTTTTTTAAAGCATTTTCGAGCACGAGGAACGTACCTACACCCTGTAATGGAAGTTCTATGAATGTTAAAGTATGTATTTATATTTCCTTGCCCTATCCCATTTTTTGCTATATTTTAAGCATAAAGGGATTTTTTGGTTATTCAAAACTAATGTTTCTAGTTTTTGTGTTATTATTATGTCATGTAGTTAATGCTTTCTGGAAATTTTAATGGCTTGGAAATCCAGCATGGGTTTTTAAGGGTGTTAAATTTTGGTCCAGGCATTTTTTTGGGTTTTGTTTGAAGCCCTAAGGATTTTTTTACCCATTAAATTTTGATCTGGAGTACCCTCTCCCTCCCTGGGCTTTAAGCCTAGAGATCAAACTTTTGTGCATCTTCTGTTTACGGCTATCATATATGTTCACGCATGAATTCACCCGTTGATCAAACTAATCTGATTTTTTTAATGGTTAATTAATTATTTGAAAATTTTGTATTAAATCCCCCTTTATGATTGATTATTGAAAAGTTGGTATAGCACATACCCCTAAGTTTTCTATTGTTTTTTTAAGCAGCAAGTTAAGCAGCTCAAGCCGTGCCAGTGATCACTAGTAAGTATTTAACCTTCTTTTGCCTGTGATTAAGTAGTTAACATGAAAAAATATTCTCAGCAAAAAGGATTCAGGAATTCAGATAGTACATTATTAGCACATATGCCTGGTTTTCACTGGTGACGCAAGCACAAGTGTATAAGTTCTAAAGTCTTGTGTCAAAGGAAAACAAAGGCTTTCATTTGCATTTAGAAGTCATAGGTGTATCCAACGTATCTTGTATTATTAGTTTCAGAAAACATTGCAGTTTCTGACCAGATGCCAGGGGAAGCCGATCCCCAGGAGGTGGAAGAAACCAACATTGAGCTTAAAGTTAATGCTAACTCACAAGGAAATACTACCCAATGTGAGCCCTTAAAAGATTTTTTTTTGTTTGTTTTAAATTCATGTATCAATTTATCTACCAACTTGAAGTGTTTGCAAATTTTCGTTTTTATGATATTTGATTTATCAGTGAGTCAGTTGTTATAAAGTATATTATAAATGTGACTCAATTTCAATACTTTAATGTAAATTTTTGTTTTATTCGTTTTCTTTCATTGTTCTCTTTGCCCTTTGCTTCTACCTTATTCTTTTTAACAGGGAATAAAAAAATTTGCCGCACACTGCATGTGCAATTTTGAGCAAATGATCAATTTTCAAATAACTTCAATTATCCAAAGACAACAATGCACTTCAACTGAGCTAACCTGAACTCAAAGCAGATAAATGCACGTGCAAATAATTATAATCAAGTGAGAGGAAGTGCACAGTGGAATAATGTTCCAATAATTTTTCTTGGATTTACCAATACTTCAAAATGTTCGGGGAACAGTGTTTCAAACAATAAAAGTTGTATTCAAGAGATCCAGCGAACAGAACAACAGCTTGATTGTGGAATAATAGTATCCAGAGTTTCAGTTTCACTCTTTTATTTACATTCTTCGTCTTCACGTGACGGCGACGAAGAAAAACAGGTAATTTTTGGAGTTTTGCTTTAGCCATACAACTTAATATAAATTCAGGGTTCTCCCATGTTTCTACCATAACGGGAAAAAGGCTGAGCTTTTCCAAGTGGTAAAATATGTGTAACAATTTTAGGCGGTAATAGAAGAGAAGCAACACCCCGTAAATGTTACAATATGAACTTCTTTTTTAGGCACTTGATGAAGAAATACTCGCTCGTGCAGCAGAACAAGCGGAACAAGCAGGTAAGAGTTGTTCAGAAGTTCGAACGAACATTCCTTCCCTGAGTTGTTGGATGATCACAGAGGTGACCTCTGAAAGGTTCTCCTGCCATGTTTGTTTTTTTTTAGCCTGACTTAAGTCACTTTCATGGGATTATAATTTTACCGTGGTATTGTTTCTGCTTAGGTACTGGAGGCAAATAACAGTAGTGTCACTCATATTTATGTGTACCATATTTTACGAACAAAACATATGCGTGTAAAACAAAAGGTAAATGTAAGGATTGAGCCAGTTTCGGCGCGATCAAGAACTGGGATTTGACGATCGATTGTGGATAATTTTCTATGACCGCAATGACAACTTTTTAAATTGCTTTGTAAGGTGATAAAAATGCATAAATAATCTTCTTCGGAACTGTCGGGGTATACATGTAGCTAGAACCGGTTTTGTTGATTTGTTAATTCGCGAAAAAATTCGAGAAATCGAATGCATGGAGAAATAGTAAGTTTCAACTATCAGGAGTTTCCAAAAATGGAGGGTTAGAAAAATCGGTTAAAAAATGACAGTGTCTGACGGAAGCAAATCTAGGGGAAACGATATTGGTTCGAAGAAACGGGCTTCTACAACAACGGAGTATTTGAAAAATCTGGATAGGGAACCTTTCAAACCTTAAAGGATAAACTATTTTAGACTATGTATTATAACTATTTTAAGGGAGTGGTTCCCCCCCACCTCCAAACTACCACCACCCTCCTGTCCAGGTAATGGGGGACAGAATGTGGTTGTACATCTTACAAGAAAACTATTGAACTTTTGTTTTAGTGTATGCAGAAGCTCATTCGACGCAACCAAAGAAAACAAATCGAAAAGGTACAATCAGAAGCATATTATATGCTTCCGGTACAATATAAGGAAAAAAGGAAAAAGCAAGTTAAATCTCAGTGCTGTGGAAAGTAAAATCTTGCCCCGGTATTACTATGTATGTTTTTTGGACAAGATTAAACCATGGTCTTTTGGTTGGATCACATCTTTTTTTTTAAGGTAACAACTCGCGTTCATTCAAACTCGCTAGCATTGTAGAGTAGAAGAGGACAGAAACTGGTTAACAGCTATAAACGGAAGCAAGCCGCAAGGAAGCAACTTTCGGAATTTTATGGTATCCAATCAGAAAATGTAAAAAGCAAATGAGGGCAAATGAATGTAACACAAATTTGAGTTAAAAAAAACGAGATGTACAACGCGGACCGATGTACAATTACTGCCACCTAATGTAAAGTTCAACTGGAATAACTTTAAAGTGACTGAAAAAAACCCATTTCTATTCTTCTCTTTAACGGTAGGAAGAAGTAACGTGAATAATCTACTTGACAATTTGCATCCCGGGACCATTACAGGTGAGTCGCGCGGGCATACTTCATCATGTAAATAGGTAACTAATCGCATTACTCGTCATCACTTGTTAAGAGCATAATATCACTTTAAATCATGAGTAGATAACAATAACGAACGAGCGAGGGAAGGAGTGATATTGCATCAAAACAAGTGAAAGTCAATGAGTACACATGATACCAAGTCCTAACGCTTATCGAAAAACTCTGCCAAGGTGTACACCACAACTGGCAGTTCTTGAATAGGCCAATTTCCTTGGAAAGGGGTCACAATCTGACGATT